CACTGTGACAATAGTCGAGCCCACTTTAGAGGATGAGCCATTTAATGGTAATAGGGAAAACGTGGAGAATAGCACCTAGGAAATTTTGGGGTTATGGCACAGGTCCATATGAGGCACATGCGCACCTGTGAAGTACATGGGACCCTGTCAGTCATCACACATGTGAGGGCATTGAGCAGTACAGAGAAGGGGTAGATGTGAGGCTGTCCAATATGTTGGTATGACAAGCAGCCAGAGTCTCCAGTGGTTGTGTTTGTGTGACGGTGCCCCTGATTTGTTCAGGTGAGAAACCCAGAAGTGATAATAACAGGTTGATTTTATTTCATTTCCCAGATGCAGTGAAAGGATGTGTCAAAGCCAGGTAATGCTGAATGCTCTGGTCTTAGGAGGTGGATTGGTAGACTCAGATTTCTTGGTCATTATTACAGGCCTCTGTGTATTCCAGAGACATTAAAACTATACCGATCGATCGGAGTTAAAAAATCTACCTCTTCTTATGCCTGATGCTGACTCTGTTAAATGACAGTGACTAGTCCTCAAGGCAAAAGTAAAGATGTTTAAAAGCAACCTGTTACTGTTAGTGCAATATGCTGTGTCTTCACCATAGCAGATGGCACACTCGAGGCCATGGGCTCCGTTAGGAGCCTGCTTGCATGAAAGCCTCTTCTACGCTTCACTGTAAGACTCCCTGTTTTGAGAAGAACTGCCTGGCAGGAGGAAGCATCCATTTGAAACAGGACAGCCACTGCTTCTCCAGTGCAGCGAGTGGGAAGTTGGAAAACTGAAGTGGGGAATGGACAAGGCTTTGGCTTCACTGGTCTTCAGCTTCTCACCTAGGATGGTATTATTCCAAGCGATTTTTCAGTATTTAGTATGTCTTCATGCAGAGGTTGTTACCTCATTACCAATGTATTTTCAAGGCAGCAGCTCACATAGAAATTATCTTGTATTTCCTAGTGGGGGAATCACGATTCTCATGGCTCAGAGATTATTTTTGTGTGTGATTAAAAGGTACTTGTGACTTGAGTTTGGTTTATACAGAAGAATGATTTCTTCATCTAGTTCAAGGAGCTCTATAAAGATCATAGAAGAGTCAAAATCTTTGCCTGAAGGTGCCAGCAGTTTGTGTAGTGTAGCAAAAAATAATGACATGGAAGCAGAGGTACTGCCTACCAGTAAAAGCAGAATTCCCATGTGTATGTTTTTTATCACTTGTAAGTTTGTATCAGAAATACATTCACTGACTATTTTACATTGCTGGGGGGAATAAAAGGGTGTGTATTGAAGCATCACCACGCATGCTGTTGCCTCAAGGTCTCTGTCATGCGTGATGCATTCTCCCGCGTACCGATGTGGAGGTACTGGGAGCATCCACAGTACCGTGCTCAGGTGGCAAAGCCCATGGCTGATTTCTGGCTGTTAGTGAAATGAATTCATCGCAAAGCTCAAATAACTTAATTATGTTGATAAATGGATGGTGATCAGGTCTTACACAAAACCAAGATATCTTGTCATAATAAAGCTCTGCAAAGTATCTTAAGAACATGAGAAAGAGACACTGAGTAAGAAATGTGGTTTAGGCATATGCAAAGTTTTGTATCTTGGTATCGGCTGATTGAAGTTGAGAATTATGTCTTGACATCAAATGAAATGTGATGGGGTGATAAAGGACCTCTAACTAAAAGTTTGGGGCTGCTTCATGAGGCCATTAATTACAAAAATTTTTGCAGTAGGGAAAAAAAATCAAAGAGTTTTATTTTGTGAATAAAAAGAATTTGAAAGTTAGCTAGGAAAACATTCCAAGGGTAGGACTGCTACAGTATAAAGAAGGAATTTAACTAAGTACAACTCATTAAAAAGGAGTCAGATGTCTATAAAAAACATTAATTTCTTGCTGCATTTGACATTTCCGTTAAAATATATTATATTTATAAATATAATTGCTTATTGCTTAATTTCTGCAGGTTTCTAAAGAAAATTTAAATAATTTCTGAAAGTGTTTTTTTTTCCATTGGTCTATACTGAAGTTTTAGCCTCTGGAGTATCTCACATTATTCTGTTATCATCACGTGGGCTTTTATTCTGTCTCTATTACTTAGGGTCTAGCAATACTCTGTATTAAAGAATATGTTTAAGTCTGGAAAGTGTATTTTTGAAGACACAATACCAACTTGTGTAGGTACAGACACCTTTTTGCTTTGGTATATTTTGCGGGGTCACAATGCAACCTTTCATATTTAACCTTTTGTGGAATTAAAATGAAAACTTCATTGAAAGCTTTTGGCTTGTATGTATAGGGAAAATGACTGTAGTGCCATTAACCTCGTTGTGCATATTCAAGTCATTAAAGAAAGGGGAAAAAATAAGGTGGAGACATAATTTCCACTAAGAAATATTGATTCCTATAAATTCAGAAATTACAGACTGGAAAAAGTCACGTCACCAAAATTCAGGAAGAATAATACATAAATAAATAAAATCCCATTAGGGATTAAGTTAAAAAGACCCTTAAGAAAGCACTGCTAACAGACTGAAGGAAGAAGAGTGTTATGAAGAGTAGTTGGGTGGGATGGATGTCATTAACAAACTACCACACCTTTCAGGTGAGATTTTCAGAAGATCGTGATGGCCTTGGGTGTTCACGACCTGTGGGCTCTTGGAGCAGCTGGCTCGACTGCCTGGGGTTGGACATTGCGGGGGCGCGTGCCTCTGACAAACTACAGGGAGGTCTTTGTGCCTCCCATGGTGTGCAGCCGGCCGGGAGAGATGCGTTGACTTCCGTCAGCTCCAGAGAACCTGGGACAATCCCACCCTTTACGGGGAAGAAATAATGAGCGAAAGTTTGTGTTTTCATTGCCAGGTCAAGATTTGACAAGTTGAAGTCACGTGTCGCTACAAATAGCAAAACATGGAGAAAACTGGGATGCTCATGTATAGACTACTTACGGGTCTACAAATAGTCCAGTATCTAGTCCTTATATTTGTATTTCTTATTCTAGTGCACTACTGACCCTATATTTATTGTAAATAGCTACATTTATTGATTCTGAAGGATACCAGTAAACGTTTCATTTGTGTTCTTTTTTTTGTCTTATTTAAATTTGTATGAGCTCTGCATCTGCTATTAAAATGTAAGAGCTCAGAAATAGTGCTTGAATAAACACTGTAGTAATTTATGTAACGCCCTGGCAGTTTCAGTTATTCGGCATCGTCCAGTGTTCCGCTAGATGGATTTTCAAAAGCTGGCTTCTGTATTTCACACCTGCAAACTACAGCAATATTTAGTAGGAAGCTCTGTGTGCCTGCAATTAATTCTGAATGCAGAAGTGAAATCTGGCCCCATGCATCAAAGAGCTTGGAGGCCGTTTCTGTGGTTATTTGCTCAGCTGACTGTATTTGATCAGAGCTGATGTCCTCAGTGGTATGGTGAGGTTGACATACTTACAGGAATCCGATTGCATTACAAATTGCGGTCACATTGCAGAATGAATAAGTCCGAGGCTTTTCCCTACTTCTTGTATTGCTTTTCGCCATTAAAAAAACAGAGTGAGCATTGGTTGATTCTCTGCGATCCATCTGGAATAGTGACATTTATATTTAAGTTCCGTGTGAACAAGGCTCCAATTTATATTTCAAGGGTACTTACCTAGTTGTATTTAGGCCTTTTTCTTTTTGTAGCTTGCAACTTCCTGGGACCAACTGCATCCCAAATAGTTGTCAGTCTCAGTTCTTATGCTCATATTACAGTTTCTTTGTCCCTTGCAGATCAAGATTTTCTGAACAAGTCCTGCTGAAATCCTTCCATGCAGTTTCATCCAGTTTTCCTCAACTCTTTTTGCTTCTCATGGAGTTTCCTTTCCCTTGAACTCAGTGTTTATAGCAGACACACATTGCTTTAATTTCATGCCTATTTTCTATATAGCCTGATGAAATTAAAACCAAAAAAATAAAGCATAAAAAATGCAGAGGGCTTACCAGAACAAATGTTTAGTAATGGGACTGATTCATGCCCAGAGTACAATAAGAATAAGCAGTGGGACTGCTTGCACGGTTAAGACACTCAAAATTAAATGCCTGGCCCTGTCTATTTTGTTGAAATATGTATTACGCTGTTTCAGCTGGTAGCTCAAAGACCAAAAGTGGTCTCTCTGGAAAATATTTGGAGGTATCTGCGTTTTTCACACCCTGTGGATCTATTACTAATAATGATAGTGCCAGTTTCATAGTACTGTGAGAGGAAGAAGGCAGGTGGAAAAGGAGCACTGAGCAACAGCAGACACCATGGTTTACTGTGGTCACTGTCCTACTACAAGTCTAGGAGTGGCTGATGAAAAAACACACTGCAAACGGCATAGGAATATGAGTAAATAGCCATAAAGATAACTGTGATAGCAGAGTTGTTATGAGGAGCTGTCCTGGTATAAAGCACCTCTAGATGTCACTGTAACATTGTAAAATGTAGATAAGAGAACGCTACAAAGCTGACGTTATTGTTTATACGCTCCGATTCCTGGTAACTGTTTTGGTCAGCCTGTAATAAATTATTGGATCAATAAAAATGCTGTTACCAGATGTTGATTAACAGCAAAAAACTTTTTGAAATCTGTCACTAAGACTGTTACTGAACATTTTACTAGAATATTAAATATTCCTAGCTTTGGTTTAACTAACCTAGTTTTTAACAGCAAAAGCTAGTGCAGGGCAACAGCTCATTTCTGGATGTTTTTTTCTTTTAGTCCTGAGGCTCAGTCCTGACCTTTTCAGGGCTGTGTTTATGCCAACACTGATGTTGCTTACAACTGAGATCATTTCTCTTGCTTTACACTGGTACCAATCTGAACAGCTTGGTAGTGATTAAAATAAGGACCATCATTTATAGGAAAAGTGCGAGTCGGAACACAGAGTACTTGGATTTGACCAAAAAAATCAGGCTGCAATTTCATGAGGAACAATACAACATGAACACTGTATACACTAATACATCAATTGCCTTCTCACAGGTCATCAAAGAGAAGTCACATTTGAATGAGACAGGAACAAAAAAGAAGAAGCCACCAGATTCAACAGGTTAGAATATTTTTTTTCTGATCAGTTTCTGGTTCCTAAGGGTACAACTGCACAGAAATAGCCATTACTGTCCTGAGCAGCTCCAGTGAAGTTGGTTGGGTTACGTGTGTGCTCATCAGCATAAGTGAGAATTGTCCAAGCAACACCAACCTACTTTTCACATGCCTGTGCACATGGTGGCAAACTGCTCAAAAAAGTGCTTTGCATGAGAAGTTTATTAACCTTGACTTGGCTGACAATAAATTTGAGTGAGAAAAACATTTTCCAGTGCTGTGTCTGAAAGGAAGAGTTTGTGACCCGTGATATCCCTGTTTTAAAGAAGTAGTCTGCTCAGACATTTACACTGACCTTGAAAGTGGGAGAGGAAAGCAAGTGCCTAGTTCAAAATGCAACAGAAGTTATGCTAAGTGCGCAGCCCTACTTTACTATTGTTACTGACTATCAGAGAATTACTGACAGATTCCTTGGTAATCTGTTTACTTTACAGAGGGGGCCATCCAGAAGAACCAGTCCTGCTCTCAGGAAGAAGTTGATAAGCTCAACAAGGAAAATGCCGAGAGGGAAAGTTCTGTTCTGCTGCAAATGGATCCTCCCAAATTTCATACTGAAGGGCCAGAGGAGAAAGGAGAAAGTTTGGCTTTCGAAAGCTATTACAAATACAGGAGAAGCTCTGTTCAGAAATCCTTCACTACAGAAAAGCAGCAAGAAGAAGATGCTGTTGATGATGCTTGTCAAAGGATAACTGGGCAGGAGAGAGAGAGTGAGTCCCCAGGAGATGGGGAGAGGAAGGAGGAACATCATGTGTCTGGAGATGAAAGACAAGAGGAGAGGGAGAATGAAGGGGAGGGAAATGCTAATAAGAGTGAAAAAGAAGTTGAGGAACCACCAGATCCTTCCCAAAATGAAGATGAGGCAGGACAAAGCCATGATCAAGAGGCACAAGAGGGAAGGTAAGGTCTGAAGCTCAGGCCGCACATTCTTAAGAGACCCGTGCTTTAGAAGAATGTGTAGTTCCAGTTTCAAGACAAAGTGGCTGGTTAATATAAATATTGGTGAAAATCCAGCCCAATAGAAAAGTGTAAAATGAGTTTATCTCTCTGATCTTAGCTCTAAGCTGAAATTTTACCCTTAAAAAAGACAGGCAAACAATCTACCATACGCGGTACTAGCAGTGTGCTTTGGTTGTTTGCTTGGGAAATAGGTTAGGAACATGTGAATTATGTTAGACTATTCTTCATCTCTGAGGAGAATTCTCCCATTGTTATGTTTACATACTGCAGCATCATATAACCTATGAGCAAAGTAAGGTTAGATTAGGCCATGTACCAACTGGGAATTAAGTTACTGAAAAATGTAGTAACTTGGGTGATAACATAAAACTGTGAAACTTTGCTCAGTTTATCAGTTTATTAACTGATAAATTTGTTTACTATAATTCTTTCTTTGCTGCATTGATATATAGCCCTTCAGGGATAAAGCAGTTTAAGCTCTCAGGAACCTATACGAACAGAGTGAAATCGCAATGCTTTACCATTGCTTTAAAGGTTGGATTGATAGCCAAATGTTAAATTTGGAAGAACTCAGGCGAGGATTTCAGTAATGGATAAACATTATGCTGTCATGATTAACTTAGGGGTCATTCTTATTTCTCAAAATGAATATTAAAACAGTTTGTTTTACACCGTGAAGCAAAATAACCTAATGTTATTTGAATGCAATATATGTGTAGGCATTTTTCACCTATATTTCTAAATTTGCTCTGCTTTAAGTGTACCCTGCTCTAATGCCATGTTTTGTCCTTGCAGGTGTAAAGGCTGCGAAAAAGGTACAGGAAATTATAGTTCAGTGACTGAGCAGACCTGCCAATTTGAGCATAGTGGTAGCAGCAAGCATCGAGTGAATGATGAAGGCCTAATCAAAGATGACAACAAAAAGAGCAGGCTAGATGCAGAAAGTGCTGATGGCATATGTAAAATAAAAAAAAGCTCTTAGAGGAAGAGATCAAATTCCTAAAGGCAAAGCATTTGATTCCACTGGTGATGATCAGAGAGAGACATCCATAGAAGAGAATGATTTCATGATTGTAATTAGCAGGGGGAAAAGGTGTGCATGGTAGCTCTGACGGGAAGCAGTTGTTCACGGGCCACATCCTAAGCTGATGGGAAATAACACGTTTCTGTTTGCTTCCATCTTAGAGGCTTCTGTTCTGGCAGAAATTAGTTGCAACTAATTTGCTTCTGCCACAACTACTCCACTAATACTATCCTCTTTCCCTCTTGTTTTAACAACGGAGCTAAAACTCCTAAGTATAGAGTGGTGGGAGAAATTAGATCATGTGTGGCAAAATTGATTGACCTGTGGAAGTGCTGAGAACATGTGTTAACACAGAACCTGCAGTGCTCTGGATGTAGCCTGCAAAACCAACTTGCTCATATTCGTACCATTGCAATCTGAAGTGAGAACAACTGCAGCCTATAAAATAAAGAAATACAGATTTTTGTGTGGAAGCCTGACTGATGCTGTTGAACAGTCAGATAAATGGTGCTCAGCCACTGAACTCTGAAGCAGTGCTTACTGGGGTGAAGCGGAGATTTCTAATATTAGACCTCCAGCTTGAGAATTTCAGTGCCTATCCCTGTATATGAAATGATGGCACATGAGAGGATGGCCTGAAGGATTTGAAGATATATGTGTGTGCAATTGCATGCATAGGACTCAGAATGAATTTCTTTGCTTTGGGAATGGGGGGAGAGTGGGAAAGGGAAACATTTATTAAATGTTTGTGCTAGGCTCTTGTAGCAGGAAACAGGAGATAATGTACTAAAACTTTAAACTCCGTAACCTGTCCTGAGCTCTGGCAGATTGTTAGGGATGACATTAAGGTTAGAGTGTCTCTCTTGGAGCATCTTTGATCTGTAATGGGAGGTCGTTCTTGAATAGGAAGAAATCCCCTCTGGTGTGCAGGGAAAGAAAAATAGAGGGTCTGTCACTGGGAAAATCTTGAAGGCTAAAACTTAGGCATAGCTTTAAAGAGGCACTCTGGCCTCTTTAAAAGAACACTTCCTTGCCCAAAGTTTGGTAACATTTGGGAGCTGAGCTTTCAGAAAGTCATTTTCTTCTGTCACTTATGTGCTGGGGCCCTTGGAGTTTGTGTTGTTAGAGTCAAATTCTGCCTTTAGGGTAGAGGTTTTCTTGACACTTTGTGGGTCTGGGTAAGACGCAAAGGCCCATACTTAAGGACGTGCAATTCAAACTCTTCAGAATCCCAAGTAGGTGGCAAACTTCCAGAAGCCCCAGCTTTTCACAATTCCTTGACCATGAACTAACTTCCTGACCACGTAAGTTATTAACACTGTCAAAAGAGAAATCTAGATACACAGCTGGTGTCCTGGAAAAATGGACATTCACTGTGAATAAGGACAATCTACTGCTACATTAATGACCAAAGTGTTCCTGCCAGCTACATGCTGTCATGGGGTTTTTTGTTTGTGTTTTTAATCATTTTCACTGGAGTAATGAACGGTTTTAAAATTGCTCAACAAGCCTCACACAAAAGGGAGCCGGCATTCCAAATCAGAGAGCTCATGTTGAAAGGCTGGGGCTCTAGCCCTCCCAAACAGTTGAAGAAGTATTTGTCACCTTGGTCAGCCAAAGGTCACTCTTGGGAATATCAATCAAATGAAAAACAACGTGGGTATGAAATTGAAGTCGCAACACCCTGCAAAAAATCCAAAGAGAAATTAGGCATGCAGGGCTGGTCTCCAGCAGGGATTTTGACATCAGGATGGCAGAATGGTCCAGCATGTGGAGGTCCAGACAATAATACCAGAGACCTGCATTTGTGCTGAAACTCCATAGCTGCTGCAGTGTGATGTTGGGAACCCATCCCTTCTCTGTGCCCCTTTTTACCTTTTATCTGCCATCTTTTTTTAAGGACAGAAATTCTTCAGAGCAGCACGTGACAGTTACCATGTGTCCTACCACACCGGGTCCTGAGCCATACTGGAAATCCCAGGTGCTGCCTGCCAGGGTGAAACTCCCTCATGTGCACAAGCTCTAAATGTGATCTTTAAAGGTGATGACCACACTGTGGAGAATGACAAGTTGTGTCGATCAGTAGAGAAAGGGATTCTTCACTATGAAGAGCAAAAGCTGGGAAATAGCCTCTTTTAGCTGGGCCTGTCTCTCTTCCTACCCCACTGGAGAGTTACAGTACATACTCACCTATTAACAGTCACTGAGAGGGAAAAAAAATTTCAGAGAAAAAGCTGAATTCCTTCCAAACAAATTGCTGAGGCCCTTTGTGGGCATGAAGCTACGTTGATTTAGTCTAGCGGTCTTCACTTTGCCTCTTGCTGCTGTTGTGCAGAAGATGCTAACTTAATAAAGGAGTCCTTGTCTTAGTAGTGTAGCTCCCCAGCAACACCCTGTTTTCTGAGCCAGAGCTCCTGGAATAAAACCCTTTTTAAATAACAGAGAAAGACCTACCTATAAAACTTACAGTAGGTGTACTCAGTTCTTAAATGAACTTATCTGGGGAAAAGTGGGACTAAAATACGAGATAGACAAGCACTGCATGTGACCACTCATATTCTATCTGTCTGTTTTGTCTTTTGTAGATGATAGTCCTACTCCACCAGCACCATTTGATCACCGGATTGTCTCAGCCAAAAGGGTGGGGATCAGCAGTTATTATAATGTCAGCGAGAATGAAATCCTGGGAGGGTAAGTCAGGTGAACCCAATCAACATGGAAAGCAAGGCACAAATTTACAGCCAAGCACCTCAGGAGGTGAATGGAAGCAACATGCCTCACTAGAGCTGAAGTCTAAGCCCTAACAGTGCTTTAGAGAAGGATGAAAACAGGAGGCTGATTTTACTGTGTGAGTGAATTTTGGCTTAAGGTTTGACACCGGCAGACTTGGCTTGTATTTGGTATTGTTCTAGGTCAGCCAGCTGTCTTCAGGTTTTATGACAGGGCTCCTAGGATGCTGTAATACTTTACCTCACATTGCAGCCAGCAGGACGTAGAGACATGTTGTAGCCTTCTTTCTCTCAGTGGATCCCATCCCTGAAAACACATGCATGTTTTCAGATAGATCAGCAGCCTAATCTGACAGGCCATGTAGTTACTTGATCTCTCATGCTGACATTGTTTAGGAGAGAGTAATATTGTAGTTTTTGATGGCAGCATGGTCTTGGGTAAGGCTTTGTTTCATCATGAAATCACAGCCCTCCCTTGGAGGAGAATGATGAGATGGAGAGGGGCAGATTGTGCACATAAGTGAGTTATTATCCTTACAGTATGTTGACTTCCCCAGGATTAGTCATTGCGTGTGAGGTGAGTATAATGAATCATACAAGTGGGATAATATCAGCTAGAACAGTGTGTGATTTTGGTGTGTCTAAATGAGTAGCAGCAAGTCTAATCTACACAACAAAATAGCAGCAATAGAGCAACTGAAATGGAACCCAGTAGGGAGAGGATAATTTCTGTTGTCTGTAACCTAGTTTACATTCAGGGCCCGACACCAGTACCACTGGATGATTTTTTTTTTCTTTCCTTTTTTTCCCTAGAGGGCGATTTGGTCAAGTGCACAAATGTGAAGAGAAAGCAACAGGTCTCAAGCTAGCAGCCAAAATTATAAAAGCAAAAGATCCTAAACAGAAGGTTGGTAGAGTGTGATATTAGTCTTTTGTTCCCCAATGGATCCCACACTGTTCTTCAGCTACACAACAGACCATGGCCAAGTGGCTCACAAGCCATCACACTCATAGGACCTGCTGGATTACCATCGGCTCTAGTTCTATTTCCCTTCTCCTTCAGAACAACTCATCAAAGTCCTCTTTTTGGGTTTTCTCTTTTTTTTTTTTTTTAAATCTTAATTTTTCCAACTCCCTTTTCAGCTCTTTGTGTTTCTTTGGCTTTACTTTTTTGCTTTCTGCTGTTAATTCTCTTAGTGTTTTCTTTAATGGTAAAAACATTTGTCAGGCCTGTGAGATAGCGTATTCCCTCCCAAGCACACTGTAGCCTTTGCTGCAATGTCTTGATGTCACTGTGAAGGATGCTGATAACAGGCATGATCTGGGCTCCTGACATCAATACAAATACAGATAAGAAGAATTAGTCTGGCCTGTTTTGCAAACCTCATGGCCATCTGCGTAACATCCTTTGTATGACAGCAGTGTCATTAATGGCATTCAGGGGTGGGATTTGTCTCAGCTAACTGGGGTTGCTAAGGTATAGCTGCGGCCAAGCTGATCATCAAGAATCCCCTTATAGTCAATGGAGAGAGACTGGCACCACCAGAGAATGATTCAGGCCATCCTAAACTGCATGTCTAAAATAGTTGGGCTGAATGGAGGTACCAGTCTCTGTCCCCTGACTGCAAAGGGAGGTTTTGAGGACTATCCTGGACTTCTCTTACACAGCTTGATTTTGTATACCTACAGCTGGTAGAACCAAGTCCTATTCTGCTTCTCTCTTTTCTTTACATCCCTGTGAACCCACCACTTGTCCATGTGGGCTCTCTCTTTCCTTTTCCCCCCAAATAGCTTATTACTGAAGCAGTCCCCCACTCGAGCTCTGAGTTCAGTCTAGTAGCTCCTATAGTCTTGACATCTACCACTGCAGGAGCAATCAAAGGAAAACCCTGGGTTTGGTTGCCACGAGTGAAAACATGAAGATAATATAGATGTCTGGTTCAAACTATGTCCTGTTTCATGTAGCTTTCTTAGAGAAAAGGTTTCTGTAACAATACTTATGACTCTTTACAGGATGAAGTAAAGAATGAAATCAATGTCATGAACCAGCTGAATCACGTGAACCTCATCCAGCTATATGATGCCTTTGAATCAAAAAATGACATTGTACTAGTCATGGAATAGTGAGTGTGTTCTTTTTTTTTCCCTTTCTGTCTTTACCACTTTTGCTAGAATTGTCCATTTCCTTCTTACTTTCTCCTGAAATTAGAAATAGAGCTTCTTACAGGTGGAAAGAACATATGAAAGATGTTCTCAGGAACAAAAAAAAAAAAGGAATTTAAGAGACAAGTTTTCCCATGCAGCAATTTATGCATTTTTTTCTGTGATGTGCCACATTCCTGGTGCTGTAAAGCCACTGCTCCATTTGAAGTTAGAGCTGTGTTATATATCTTCTCTTTAATTTCAAGTTTTAACTTGTGTCAGCTAGAACCAGACCTCTCAGAATATCTCCAGTTCTGTGAGGCAAACGAGAAGACATCTTACACCAAAGAGGAGCCAGCTGTAGGTGTTGTGCCTAATCCTTATACTGGGTGCCTGAATGGATAAACCTGTGTTTTATGCTGGGTTATCAGGCTAATTAGGCACAAAATAGCTGCCTTAAAGTCAGGTTACACAGATGTTGTCTTAAGGAAGCCAAAAAGGGCTTAACTAAAACATTAAAAGGCATGGCAGAATGTTCAAAGTTATGTGAGTTTTGCTATTCTGGACATTCTCAGATAGTCCTCTGAATTTGGTCTACGTGATTAGCTATCACAAAAGGTAAATGTCTGTGTAGCTATGAACGAGTAAGCTGGGGGCATTCTGAAATGTGATAAGATATTAAGAAGTCATTTTTGTTGACTTTAGATAGTTTCAAATTCAAATTTTGGATCATGTCCCTCTTAAACTCTGAGGGAGGAGACCACGGATTTAAATGCAGATTCTCCAGCATGTTGTCTTGGTTTTCCATGTGACTTCATTAATTTCACTGGTACAAACTGATGACTCAAGGCAGCATAAGGTTCAAATTTCAAGACTTTCGTACTTATCAATGGATGGGAGACTGGACTCTCAGACTTTGAAGAAGTTCAGGCCAGTATGCATCAGAACCCAGTTCTTGGAGAGTTCAGATCAGAGTACAAGCTCATGTTGTAGACCCACCTTATTGAACTTGACTGTGAATGATTAAAATAGTCAATAGCATAAATTCTGTATTACTCTAACTTCATGGGATTGGATTTGGACTTGGTCAGCACTTTATTGTCTTTCTCTCATCAGTGTGGAAGGAGGAGAGTTATTTGATCGAATTATTGATGAAAACTGCAATTTGACAGAGATGGATACTATCTTGTTCATAAAACAGATCTGCGAGGGAATTCAGTACATGCACCAAATGTACATTCTTCATTTGGATCTCAAGGTAGAGAATTTAGATGTATGTTTTGTGCAATGACAGCTGTGGAAATTCTTATTCTTAATGGTAGACCATACAGCTTAGCAGATTCCCATGGCAGAAACAATGAAGGGCCTTATTCTGCTTTCCTTAGACCAATGTGTATTTACTTTAACCACACTGAGATCAGTTAAATTACTACAGGAGTAAGTAAATTAGATGAGAATTGTGATCATATATCATAAGCCTCATAGCGCTTGAATTTTCCACAGACTGATTTTACAGAAAGCCAGCAGCTGACTACAAATATCTTGCTATTTTCAATTTTTATATTTGAATCTCAAGATATTGTGCAAACATTATTTAATTCAACTGCACAAGATCTCTGTTTTACACATCAGCCATGGCGTAGCAATTATCCCCATTTTTTATGATGCAGAAAACAAGGCATGAGTGAGTGGAACTAAATTCAAGGGTCATTCAGGATCAATGGAAACCCTGTACATCTTTCTGAGGACTACACCACACTGTCATGGTCATGAAAAGGCATCAATAGATAGCCAGCTTAAGGGAAAATACATTAAAATGTACTTGCTAAAATAAAAGAAATAAAAATAGTCAGTGGCTGATGTAACAAATAAGTACGTCTGTGTTGGGTTAGGCAATAGCTGCTAGTGCAGCTGAATGCCCAGAGAAGGGTGGCAGATTCTCTGCTACGTACTTAGTTATCTGAACTATTCAGCTATATACACAAAAAGTCCCCTCACTTCTTTTTAAAAACAAATCCACCAATTGCACATTCTTACTCTGGTTCACTGCTAATGGTTAACTGTCACCCCTTAGAAAACATTTGTTGTAAAGGTATTTTTCATTAAACTGTACATTTGAGCTGGCTCTTTCTACCTTAACCCAAGTTTTTATCAAATAATAGACTTGTTTCTTACCTCTGTTTAGTGCAGGAATAAAACGGGATGGTGTCTTTAGTTTTATGACTGGCTATAAAGCTTCCTAGTAATCCCTGAGCTTTGCAACAAAGCAAAAAGAAACAAAAAGTGCCCAAGATGGTTTTCTCTTTGGTGAGATTTTTATTACGGCTGCTGTTTTTGGCTTGTAATAACTGAGTTAATATAGTACATCTTTAATGTTGTTAGCATATATATTATTGCAGTGGTTAAGCAAATGAGCAGATGCTTGTTGGGACCTGCTTCAGTTGCTAATCAATGACCAGACTCACTTTTCTCTTTCTTTAAAAATCTTCAGTTACCCAGAAACCTGTCAAGCAGAAGTTTGCACAGTTCTCTGGGACATGTTAATTATGTTCTTGGAGATGGCACAGTTTTAATATGAGGTCAAACTGCTGACAAAAAGATACATATACAATCCAAGAAATTCTTCCCAGGGACCTCTTTTCATGTGCTTGCCAGCTATAGCTTCTCCCTTCTGTTTTGCTTGTTCATAGATTGCTGTCAGTAACAAATGAGTTTGGAGAAGAAAGCTTGAAATTGAAAAAAAATCATCCTGACCATAATCATCCAGGACCTCAGAAACTATGGACATACAGTGTTTAAAAGTCCTATGGTGTTTAAAAGTCCTACATGTAAAATGAATTAGTAATGGTGACAAAGGTTAACTAATGTTTTAAGTGTCGAGGGCTGTTTTGTTTCAAAGAGGACTCAATGAGAAAGAAGACGGAGTAGCTATAAAACTGCTGGCAGGGAATACGAGACTGTATTTTAGGTATTTACATTTCAAAGACAATTGACCAAATTCTGTTCTCAGTCCCTTCTGTATGAATTTGGAGTAATTCTAGGAAGTTAATGTATTCCTGCCAGGGAAGTGAAGAACAGCATTTGGCCCTATGAAAATCCAGAGGGATTTAACCTGTGAATCCTACCTTTTGCTAAAATATCTGAGAAAAGCATAAAGTTGATGTGGCTAGCTTAATATATCAGTGTTCAATCAGACAGTTACTGCCAGAACATTCGTGAACTCAAACTTAAAGCTGTAAGGTAAGCTTCAAAGCCCAACAAATTCGTTTAAATTCGTTTGTTTGGTTTTTTTTTTTTTTTTTTTTTTTTTTTTTTTTTTTTTTTTTTTTTTTTTTTTTTTTTTTTTTTAAATCAGTGTCAGTTTATTAAGGTCTGTAAAATCACATCCTGAACCCCCTCTTTGGAAGTCTGCATTCTCTGTCCCCCTCCCCCTAATGAGTTCTTTATCTGAACTTGCTGCCTTATGTCAAATTGAAAAGCCAAGGAGAAGAAAAAGCAGTTGCAAGACACAGAACACACGACCCCAACTGCTGTGTGATAGCAGGGTGGGGTACCCATGCAGAGAAATCTGAACAAGGAGGAATGCAAAAGGTGCTTATGAGATGATTGCTGTGTCTTTAGTGTTTTTCTCCCTACGGTTTGCTAAAAGTCCAGTTTTTCATACTTGTTTCTCGTTGAAGTGTTTTTTGGTTTCTCTTGGCAGCCTGAGAATATCCTGTGTGTGAACCGAAGAACAAATCAAATAAAAATTATTGATTTTGGATTGGCAAGAAGGTATGTGCGTGTGTTCTTGCTGATCATAAATTAATTAGGAAACAATGAAAAAAGTATTACATCTCTACAATGACATGTTAGACACGTAATGGTCTCCTACTGTTCTTCAGACAAATTTAATGTAGCTCTTTTAACCAGGGATATCTTTTAATAAGGCATGTTTGGAGCTGAGTAAAAAAGATTTGTTCTGAAGTCTTTTTTCAGGTAGAAGGTTGAAAGAGGGCTGATTCTGACTGAGCATGCACATAAGTAGATTGGAACAGCTAAAATGGACAAAACCAGTGGTATATCTTGTCTGGTCTCTTGTCTCCGATGTTACAAGATTCTTCAAAAGAGAGTGTAAGAGACGATCAAGGGCTGTTACAATATATCCCATGCTATATCACTTTCTAGTTTAATTAAGTACCATAACCTCAGTGAAGGATTTACTGGTTAAAAATTCCATACCTATGATATGGAGAAGTCCCCAAAGGCTGATAACAGCTGCTCTGAGGAGTCCTTGAAATCTGAATGTCTTCCTTTGTATAGCAGTTGGGTTTTGCCCTGAAGTATCATATAAAGCTTGCACACATTTTTCACTCTATATATGGGTATATTTACTTTTACTTTGTACCTCTGCCTGTCCTTGTTTTCCTACTGAATTTCCTGTATGCTTCTGAAATCCCTCTAATTGCTAAACAGCTTATGATACAACTTTAATTAGAGCTGTAATTGATGTTCTCTGTTAATGTTTCCATTTCCTAGATATAAACCCAGGGAAAAACTTCGAGTTAACTTTGGGACTCCAGAATTTCTTGCTCCTGAAGTTGTGAATTATGAGTTTGTCTCCTTTCCTACAGACATGTGGAGTGTAGGTGTCATCGCTTATATGCTGTAAGTAGGATTCAGTCTCTGCTTTGTAAGCTGTTCCTAGGCTGAACTGTGTCAGTCATCCAAATTTGTTGTTACACTGGAAGGTTGACAAAATCTGTACCCAAAATAGAAAAATGTAAGCTTCTTTCCAAATTCCATATTCAGTAATCTCTCCCCTTTTCCAGTCACCATGAACTTGTCTTCTTTTTTTCATTGCACATTTCTCATGAGCGTTTGAGCATCACACTTCCAGAATAATGTAGACTGCTTGGTAAGTTGCCAGTAAGTATGTGCAAGAGTGGTCGGAGGTCTAGAAAATATGACCTACCATGAACGACAGTAATGCTTGGTTTGTTAGGGAAGAAGGGTGATTATTTAAACATGCAAATAGAAGAGAGAATGGGAATGGTCTGGAGATTTTCTTAGACAATAACATGTTGCAAATTAGGCCAGGAGTAACAGAACAGTCATAGGTGGCACACTGGAGATCGTGTACAGGAAGGGGAAAAGACAGGAGGATTGAACATATTTTTTTTTTTACTTTAGCCTCAGTGGATTGTCTCCTTTTTTGGGTGATGATGACAATGAGACCCTCAACAATATCCTGTCCTGTAGCTGGGATTTTGAAGATGAGGAGTTTCGAGGTGTTTCTGATCAGGCCAAAGATTTCATCTCAAAGCTTCTCATCAAGGAAAAATGGTATATAATCCCTGTATCTTTGAAATGTGTGTTCCATGCCATTATGTCACAGTTGTGTCACTTGTACTGCTCCATTGCAGAACTATCATGACTTATCAAAGTGTTTTATGTCCCCGTAGAATATTATAATGCCACTTCATTGTTGTTGTTCATTATGTCCATAAAATGATCTGAAGTTACCTGAATGTATTTTTGCTGTGAAACTGAACTTAACTTTATGGATTAGCCGCCATCTGGCGCAGTGTCCTGAGAGGACAGCATTGCATGATGGCAGAACACATGACCTGTAGGAGATAATTGTCGAATTGTAAGATTCTAAGAAAAACACTTAACAGCATTCTGGTTTTCCTTTAGCTGGAGAATAAGTGCAACTGCTGCCTTAAAACACCCGTGGTTATCAGACCACAAGCTCCACTGCAGACTCCAGGTCCCTAAATTTAAATATCCTTGTGCATTGTGGATCTGCTGTTGCCTTCTTGTGTTGCCACGTCACTATTTGCTTTGACGTTTTTCTTATCTGTTTTTGAGTCCTCCTTGCTGCTGCCTCTGTGAGCCACGTGTGTCCCTTTGCTTTTGTTTAGCTGTTTTAATTTGCATGCTCACACTTGCTCATCGGTTTTTGCATGTCTGAGAAGAAATATATGGTCATGCAGTTGCTGTGTGTTGCGGAGTGGATCCATTTCTTAGCAAAATGAGACTATTTACAAAATGAGCACTGAATTACCATATGAAAAGAGTTTTCCAGCTGGGGATGGTTCTGCTTCCTGCTTTGAAAGCCCTTCCAGGCTCTCCTGAAGTCCCCTATGAGTGCTGTTAGGTTTCATCCTACCTCTTCCCAAGGGATACCTTTCCCAACAGAGCCTGGAACCTCAGCCAGTGGACATCTTTGTACTTAAGCACCTTCTTGCCCTTCGAGGGTAGCCAGCTTAGTGGCCAACACAAAAGAAGCAGTTGTTTGTTCACATGAACTATTCCACTGAGCTGAGTTGGAGGATCAACAAGATTTTAAACCATTTCAAATATTCCTTTGTTGTCAGTGAGTTTGGGAGAGTCACGCTGTTGATGAGCTTGCTGTTGGCTGAATCTAAGTGAGTCCACTCTGTGGTTCAGTGGTTCATGAGGGGATAATTTTAAGCAGGTTTCAGAATTTTTACAGCATTTGAAGTGCAATATTCGCTTCCTCCTATGCAGGCAAAGCACATCTATGTTAAATAAAATGACTGCTGTATTGCCTAGGATGTATATGTCAAGGTGCCTTTTGAACTACAGCCATCATTAAGAATTGAGACCATATTATTAATTAATAAAATAATCATATTAAAATAAGAGCAAAGATTATGATGATAAGAAAGCAGTAGTAGCTCTGCTGATGAGATGGTGTGGGTTCTGAGCAGGATGGACTGAGTAGTGTCGACAGCTCTGTCCTTGCAAGATGTTCCTGTTATACAGAGTAAGGATAACAAGAAGTAGTATAAAATGGGAAATATTTACAATAAAATAAATTATTATAATTTTCATTGAACTTTAGTTTTCGTGATAATCTCCCAGAACAGCAATGCCCATGAGATGATTAGAAGATTTATAAGTGTGCATACACGTTAAAAATAAGAGAATTTGTCAGAGGTAAGTGTCTCTTTAGAGGGTTTCATAGGATACAATTTGACTCCTTTAGTTGGGCTCCAGTGAAGATCCAATTCTGCAACCTGGGGAACAGGCTGTCTTTTCCAAATGCTACAAGAACACAGGCTGCTTACCTGCTCTGCTGCTTCCTATCACCAATTTTCTTCTGGGGAAATCCTACCCTAATAAAAACCTTACAACTCATGTCGTCCTTTGTAGCTCCTCCCCTGGTATTTTTTGTTCATACTTCTTGTGCTTTACAAAAATAGCTTCACTAAATAAGCTGATGTTGTGGTGTTCTGCCATTACCTTAACTAGAGGTAAGATGTGATTGACCTTCAATTAATGCTCCAATAATGTCATCTTTCTTTCTTTTTTTGTTTTTCTTTTCCCCTAGAAAAAGGCTAAAGATGTGTCCCAAGCACCCCCGGCTCAATAACTTCTCTGAAAGAGCTGCCAAATGGAAGGTTTGTTTCGGGTCCCAAGTATTTCTTCAGATGTAAATAGTGTAGCCCCTGCAGAAGGGAACAGTGGGCGGCTGAAAACCTTGCACAGTCCAAAGTGCACGGTCCAAACTGTATTCGCCACCACCATCCCTGCTGTTGTTTGGAAAGCATTCAAAATGTAAACTGTCCCTATCGCTTATATGAAGTCACAGCAATGTGGAAAAAAAAATCGTACATATGAAGCTGTATGTGCTGCAAACCCTGGCCATTTTAGAGGGAATAGTTATGCTCCCACTGGCTCTCATGGGGCAGTATTTCACCCAATAATTTTTCAGTGTTGAAAGCTTTCAGGTTTTCATGCTGTGGTTAGGAGTATGGTTTAAAAACCGTAGAAATATGAAAAGTAATTACTTTTTAGCAAAGGCACGGGCCAGACCCTCAGGGCAGCTCCACTAACTGTAGTGAAACGAAAGTGAGGTGTCCCCTAAAAGAAGCTGCTCCACACTTTTGAGGACCCAGTTCTGACAGGGCACTTCTCTGCCCTTTTAGCCTGTAGCAACCCAAACAACTTTGACAGAGCATCTCTCTCTCTCCTTTTTTTCTTGCTCCCTCTCTTTGCCCTTTCATTAACAAACACTTCATTAGTGGTTCTCAGGATGGCTTGGTTGCCTTCCCCAGGGATCAGTGAGACTCAAGTCTGCTCTCATGTTCTGTCTCTGGTCTTTGACCAAAGCATACTCACTCAGCCACTTTGAAATCAGGCTGCCTCAGGCGGTACAGTATCTCCATAAACCAGTACACCAATTCCCACAGCCCCTTTTACCAACTACCACAGAAGTTGGTGCCTCTGTTGAAGGACCATGGGAACCACTCAAAGGTTTTGGGGGCATCTCTGGGCAAAACTCAGTGGAGGGTCAAGATGTGAATGAGGCTGAGAACACACACACTGTAAAACCACTTCCTTTTAGTCGTGCGTCATGAGTAACAACCAGGATGCCAAAATAAAAGTAGTCCACTTTTCACCACAAGCAAGTTTTTAATGCTGCCATCACGCATCATCTGCTTGATAGGGCAAGTGATGTACTGGGTTTTGTTTGCACCAGGTTTTGTCCAGAAACATGTAAAAAAGAGAGTATTGTGAGAGGTTGAAATTTTTGTTCTGTTTTGACTAAGTAAAACTAGAATAGATTTTATACAGTGCAGTGTAGTAACACAGAAGTTAATGATCTTTAAATGAGCTATCTTGGGGACTTGAAGCTGCCTTTCCATGGTACACTGCAGGTCAGTGAGGGCTAAGGTACCATTATTATATCTTACTTGCTCTCTGAAGCCACATAACTTCCTGATATGGTAATGTCTGAGCATTAACTTCTGTAGTGGGAATCCAGTGGGAATAAATACCTCTTTGTGATCCTCAGCATTCATCCCCACTTCACTGGTGCTGGGACAGGTTACGTGAAGCTTTGGTCCACTCACCTGCCTGCTTCTACGTAGTAGTTTTCTAAACAGGTTTTCCTGACCTGTTACAGGACTAGTGTTTTTATCTGTATTTCCCATTTCAAGCCACTACCTGCACAGCAACCAAATGGTGAAAACTCTCCCTCTCTAATGCAGGAAGCACTGTATTACCCAATTTTCTATTACAACCAAAATCAACTTTGAGATAAATTGACTGTCCAACAGCAGTCAAAATTATTTTTAAATAAACTTTTTATAGCTTTGTAACATAGTAACCTACCCATGATCTAACCTGCAGGAAAACCTGGTTTTGGCTTTTGCAGTGTTATTTCCTCTGTGTGTGTTTTTCTTTTTGGAGTTTATTTGAGTTTACTTAATGAGTGGATCTAAAGTCATAGCAGTGCTTTGTTTTTAAAGAATCCCTTTAGCTATTTTTATCAGGCAAGGAGTATGGTTACCACATTTAACCCAAAATAATACACTCAAGTGCCAGTTGATTTAGGCCTGGCATTATAAATGCTTGCAGTGGTAACACAAATAAATGGAGAGGTTTGCAGCATGCCTTTTCATGCTGCGATCTGTATGACAAGAGAGGCAAAAAAGCAGAGTAGCTGCATTTCAGGAGAGACCTCCAGGACCATTTCTCCACTTAACAAAGAGGCCTTGTCTTTTTAATATTGTATAAAACATCTCACAAATAAGGTGGCTGCAAGAACCCTTCGTAAGCAAGAAGTTTCAGCGCTGCTTTCTTTTCCTTGTGCACAAAGAAACCACCATGTGGTTGTCCTAGAACACTTAACCAAATAAAAAAGTATACTGCTGAATTAACTGGATTCTTGTTTTGTTTATTTTGCAGAAAAGCTGCTGTGTGGTTACTGCTGCTAAGAGATTTGAAAATATCAGCAGTCTTGGTGCTTTACCCCCTTGCCATGACCGAGACTTCTAAATGGACCAACAGCACTTTAGCTGCAGGACAAGTCCCAGCATTGCTGAGCTGCTGCTTCTCTATTCAGCTGTTGAAAGAAGGAAAGTATTTCTCCAGGTTGCAGGAAGGTGTTTCTTCTGGAGCACCATGTTCTCCATGTCTGGGAGTGCTACATTAGCTTGGATTCATAACAAACCTTTCTCTATCTTGTCTTACATCCTCATTTACTTATCAAAGACTCCTTAAGGTTCAAATTATCAGGTTAAATTGACTGTTTCTCATCTCAGCCCAGAAGGCAGTCTGTCACTGTGTTATATCTGTAGCCAAGGTTGATTTGACACTGGAGTAAAATAATTTAAAAAACAAAAATTGCAGCCAATTTAAAGCTGCCTTATGTAGAAGATTTGAAGTTTGTTTTTCCTGTCACACTAAAATGAGCTAAGAATTAGCTTGACCAAAGTTAAAGCCATGTTAATGTAACACCAGTGGCAGAGGGAAATGAGGCTTTCCTTGCACGTAGGTGAATTTGCTGCAAACGTGATATGATACATTTTAGGACTTTTTAGCCTGATGAATTACTGTTCGTTTTAAATACACTTGGATTAATTAAACAAGAAAGAAAACAAGGCACTATTCACTTGTACCCATGCAGACTCTGTTCTCTAGTGTGCAAGTATAATTCAGAGTTGTTTTAACAGAGGGTGATTTTACACCAACTAATTTGTTTAATGCTAATAGGACTGATTAAGACCATTGGCAAAGAAGAGAATCAGACCTCTGTTCATTATAACCTCTGGGTACAGGCCCAAATGAAAATCCTCTGTTTTTCTAAAGTTTTCTTTTCTTATCTTGCTCCCAAGCCTTTCTGATTCTTAACTAGATAAAAAACTGGGAGTCAGAACAGCTGAATTCTTTACCTGAGGTTGTTTGAGTATGGCTCATCATTAAGTGAATGAGTCTTAGTTGCCTAGGCTGTGAGGTTAAAATAATGAGATTTATTCCCTGCTGTATATGGCTTTCTGACTGCTTGGTTTCCGAACTACATAAATGCAAAGTATAGTGAGTATTTTATTCAATAATGCTGACATATTGTGGTGCCTTTTGATTTTCTTTGATTAATCCAGTTCTGATCAAACTACATATTAACATAGCTATCTCTATATATTTATCTATACATTTGATATCTATTTATATTTAAATTATGGGTTTTTTTAAAGGGGATCAACATAAAGACAAAACAGTATTATTCATCACCACCCAATGAATTGTTTTTCATACCTTTGTCCTTTCTGGATAGCATTCATATTGGAATAAAAGGGGCCCATTAATGGGACATCATGGCCACCACGTTCTCAACAGCCAGTTTGATCTAATGTTTTAAAGCCATTGTAGTAGATCTCTTAAGACTGCTCCTGTAAATGAATAGGGCTTCTTACAGCTGTGAAATCTGAGAAATACTGATGTGTTGTACTAGTTGTTGCAAATACATGAGACCCATTACTGCTATCACACAATGACTCACCATGTAACTATGATACCATGTAGAGCACTGCCACCTTCAAATCCTTATCTGTAGTCTTAACTAAACTAAACTTTGACTAGCAGAAATGGAAGTTTCTTTGGGAAAAGACTAAGCAATCTCAAAGCAAGAAAACGAGCATGTGACTTTTAGATAGAAACTGGGCTGCTTATTTTTAGTCACCATTTAGGTTTGCCTGTGCAAAAAAAAGCTACCTTTCTGTTAGGGCTGGAGTTCCCACTCCTGTTCTGACTGCCTTCAAGATATTGTAGATTTTTGTACAGTAAACAACTCAATGATCAGAATAAAATGCAGCAGACCACTTTGGAATGACAAGATCTCATTATGCACTTTAGTGCCAGTATTGTAGGATTGGGTTGGGGTTTTGTTTTTCCTGTGGTAGATTTTACATGGGAATGAATAAATTGCATGTCATTTTGAATCTTATTAACTATACTAAAATAACAGTGTGACTACAGTCTTATCTGCTTTGTTGCTCAGTTGAATTAAGAGGATTTATCATCTGTGGATGTAGACATCTGAGTAGTAATTAAGAGCTTAGTGCCATAAAGGTCAGCCCTGTGTTAGAGTGTGTTGCGCTGAGTCAACCGCAAGTCTGCCAGGAGCCGTAGGAGAACGTGGCCTCTGTTATGCACATCCACAGAGTTCATCCGTACAGCGCTCTGTCAGAAATACGCACACGTGAATTACTAGGGAGGGTGGAAGAGCTTGACATATCTCACATGCTTTGGGAGGCTAGGCCCTTTCAGAAGGCATGAGTTGAGGAGGGGGCACCTCACTAGCCCCTTGCTTGTGCAACAAGGCAGTGTGCTAATATACTCAAGGGATTTAACTCATTCTTACTAACATGGATAATGATGGTCACACTCTTGAGTCTTATCTGTAAACTGCTGCTCTGTTTCATCCTTGGAACAGCTCCTGTAGTGAGGGATGAGGTTGAGGTGGGGACAGTTGGAGGAGGTTGGACTGAGCGAGTCTCTACCGTGACTGAGGGTGCCATTTGGTGCCCGGGGTTAAGCACAAGCGTGGGCCTGCAGTGTCCTGCGGAGGAGGAGAAAATCCCAAGTGTACTTCTTGTTATTGCCCCATAGACTCTAGCTCTGCAGCACCGAGTCAAAAGGGAGGCACATTACCAAGATCATTATCGTTATCAAGGGTAAAAAAATTATACTGCTGTGTAATTATCACACGTAGAGCGTTGTGCCTGAGAAAAATGTCTCCAGAGATGTATGTTTGTATCTTTTCTGGCTGTTGTAATTTTAGTTAAATAATAACTTGAGACAGCTTCTTTTTAGTGGCTTTCTAATCCTGTCTCATTGCACTTTGAGCAGCATGCTGTTCTGTGTGTGTGTGTGCATGCAAGTTTGATTTTGATTCTGTTTTCCTTAAATACATTCTGTAATGACTAATAGCTAGAGACTGCTATATTAAATTATTGTTTTGACACAGCATTATTTATTTTCTACTAGGTAATAAGTCGACTAGGTTCTAATAAGTCAACTGCATCTATGTGAGTTTGCTTATTATAATTTTTGTTGCGTATTGGTTTAAGCAATTGCATTTGGAAACTGTGAATTACTGTGCTTGAGAGCAGGTTCGGGTGTGAAAGGCACTGTACTAGCTGTTGTTACTCCATTTAGCTGTATACCCACAGGCAGTCAGAGATGGCTGCAGGTACTGCAAGAGTGATATAGAAACATCAGTTGTGGTGGAAGGGATGAAGTGTCAAGATGTAGTATTTGGTCTGTGTACACCATTGTATTCTTCCTGACATGTGAAAATTAAAGGCCATATCATGGGAACATAGTGATTTATACTAGGTGATGATTTGACCCCCAGGTTTGCATACAGACTCCCTGCTGGACTGCAAAAAGGCAGAGGGCTTTCTGTTTGGAAAGGCGGCTTTAGCAGGAATGTTAGGTAGGGGCTGTTCTGCAGGGACGACCTGAGGGATGTCACTGGAAGTTGAAGGCACTCTGTAACTGACAGATTTTCCTGGGGTCTTAGATGTAACTGTACTCAGAAAAGCACGACTTTATTTGTCAGGCACTGAAAGACAGCTATCACCTGGTGCTTATAAGAATTAGGATGCTGTTATTCCCGTTTCTATAGATGCAGCGCAGCTAGAGAAAATCTCAGAGAGTTTTGCCCAAGACATACTAGTGTAGTCTCACATTAGCATCAGGATTAGAAGCAAATTTATTTGGCTCAAGGTGGGACACTAGTGGCTTTCCATTTCTTTTCACATGTTGAACATCCTGGAGGCTATGAAATGGGTAAAAACCTTTAATGCAGAAAGATGTCCATACTATCATATCCATGTTTGTGAGCACCTGCAGCCGGTCGCTCCCCTGAGTACCCTCTCAGCATAAGCAGCTGGCAATCTGTGATAATCCACTCAGGAGATTATTACAACAGAAGCTACTTCTTAATTTCTTTTTCATATTCCTTCTAATGTCAGTAGCTGAATAAAGTTAAAGCCTAAGCTAAATTCTGCTATAACTTGATACCAACCAGGAATAACAGTGCAGCTCCACAGAATTAAATAAGGGAAGCGCTTGGCCCACCTTTTGTGATGTGAGTAGCACAAGAGCCCAGTTTAACCCCACCACCACCAAAAAAATCTACTTTGCACCAGTCCTAACCAGTAAAAATAAAAAGAACCTTAATTTTTTAACAGTTAAGGAACCTCAATCAAGACACAGTTTTTCTGCGGTGGTTAAATTGCTGCAGTAAGAGTCAAGGTATTTTAGCATCTTCAATTTAATGCTGACATTACAAATCGCTGACAGCCTTTTTCAGCAAAGTGCCCCCCACCAGCAGGAGTTGTGAGAAAAGCAGGTGTTTGTCAGCCCTTCTCCACTGATGGGGACCTGAAAACATCCCATCCCCTTCCCCTGGCCCCACCAGTAAGCAGGGCAACTCTTAGCTTGTGGACTCAATATGTGACAACGATTGAAGTTTTGCTTAGTGTCAAACCCACAGCAGTGATGGATGAATGAGCACCGATGCTCCAAACTCCTTCCAGGAGGGTGCCGCATCTTCACATACTACTTTTATCATTGCCGACAGATACTTGTCCTTGTGTCTGGTGTGACTAAAACTAAACACTGCATGAATCCGTTTAGGGACGTTAGACTGTTTCACCTTCCGTGAAGGCTTGATAGCTGAACAACTAACTACCTGTTTCAAATCTTAGATGAAGACTGGTAGAAATAATGCTTTGTAAATATGTTGTTTAGCTAAGTCTGTAGAGTTAGTGATCACATTTTGGTGCGGCAGAAATAATGTTTGTGTACCCCACAGCAACTTCTCTTAAATTTAGATGATAGGCATGTGAGAACTAAATTATGAAGCACTTGGATTTTCATGTACCATACCACTTTGGCTTGCATATCTGATTTTGTAGATTAACTCATGTATCTCTGGATGTGTTCTTCTGTGAAAAACATGAAGCAATCTTGTAAAAAGATGACCGAGGAATAAACGCTGATTTTGTTTACTCCAGGGTTTTTGTTTGCTGTATTTAATGTGCCCGTCACTTATACTGGTAAGTAATAGAAAGAAACATGGCCTTTTTCCCAACTGCTGTCTCTAGATACATTAAGATAAAAGAAGAGTAATTTCCATTGAAACAAATATACCTAAGTCAAAGGTTCGCTCAGGCTCACAGCTTGTATTCACCCCTTGTAAGAAAGCCTCAGCTCTCTCTGCAAATAACTAGGACTTGAGGTGCTCTCAGCTGCAGTCTTGCTGCAAGCCCTTAGACCAGGTCACTGGGGAGGAAAAAAGAGATTGCTGAAATTTCTGGTGCTCGGTCACTCAGGGGACCTGGTGTCACTCTTTCCACCCTAAATTGTCACACTTGGACTGTTGGCTTGTTATTCAGTATTGCTTTCTGGGGAACGCACTTTAACCTTACCCCATCTAGGAGTTCACTGACTAATAAACCAGCCTGGAATCAGAAGGAATGTTTCCTGCAGACTTAAATCAACCTTAAATTGGGCTGGCTAGTGAAAAAATGAAGAGCAAGAACAAAAATTGAGAAAAAAGTTACAAAGCAACCTCTGACTGGCACTGGCCTACATTCAGTAAGTAGCACTTTTTCTGCGTGGTTTATCCACAACTCTGGTTGCAGCACTTGAGACATTCGCCATGCTTGAGGAGCAACTTTGGCTTCTTATACCGGAAGGCTCCCACTTAATATCAGCCTGTATTTGACAAGCCTGAGCTTTGCAGGTGTAAGATCTAAGCCTACAACAAGACACCCTCCTGGTTAAGCTGTAAGTTAAATCATCTAAAGAGTTGCACTCATCTCCCAGGGAGCTCAGCGCTCCTGGCCAACACAGAGCAAAGCCATCGCAATCTGGCTGGCAGAGCTTGGGGGCCGGAGGAAGCAAAGAGACCAGAGAACAATTTTACAACAGCCGAGCGCGGGACATGCAGCTGCTGCCCAAGCAGCACTCTATACACAATACACCCACTCAAGACAGCCCCGAGACCACCAATCATTTCAACAGCGCCGTGCTGGTTAGCCCAGGCAAAGCCTCTTTCTTGGTGTCCTTCCTGTGCAAGCAGGTGAGAGATTTCCCTTCCAAATTAGCGGGCTGTATAGCCTTCACACAAAGGCTTTGTTTCCCCCTTTCTCGTGAAAAATGTCTTCTAGTGGGGTCCCTAATGTGATGAGGGCTGGTAGCGACACCGCGCTGCTGGGAGCATCGCGGTACCGTATCCGCATCTTGAGCCTGCGCTCAGGCTCCGGCGTGTGTCTGCACGGGGCCCTGATGAGTTCGGTGACCAGGCCTTATACATTTGCTCTTCGTTTGCTCTTCATTTGCCTTTCTTAAAGCCAGTCGCTGTGTTCTAGTTTTCAGTGCCTTTGACCCTGGCGTAGGAGTTTTTGTCCTGAAAATATTAGCGTCTGCTTTATAGCTGACGAGGAGGACTTTGCCATAGTACCTCGGTCCTCTCAACAGCTCCTGCTAAATGCATGGCGAAAATAAAATAAATGGGGATAAAATAACACTCAGCTCCCTGTATGTGTCTGTAAAGCAACTCCACACTTTTAAAATGTGTTCGCTAAGTTCATGTGGTTAAAAATATGTTGACTACAGGAAAAAAATCCAACAAGGGACATTCATAATTCTTCATTAATTAATAGTCAACCCTTTTTCTCCCCCAATTATTTCAAACACCTGCTCACAGTAAATTTCCTTTGCAATTTTTTAATGCTACTTTAATATTACCCAGAACTTGGAAATATACACTAAGCTTCTCTTATTTTTAATTATTTTCAAATTAATTTTAATTTTCTGAATATTTTCAGTGCTGCCCATTTGTTCAATAAAACTGAATTTTAATTTTAATTTTTTTTCTTAAAGGCCTCCTAAAGTTTCCAGAGACTGCTTTTATGGGCTGTTTTAATGAAAGCTTTTGGAAAGGGACTGGAGATTTCCAAATTCCTCTCTTGAAGCCTCCTCATCCAAAAAGGGGGGGGGGGGGGAATCTCTTCATGGGGGG